TTTTTTTTAATAAGAAAACTAGAATAAGTTAGTTAAAAATGAAAACTGAAAAGGAGCGATACAAATTTGAAAACTACAGACAGCTAGCTGAGAAAAGAAAATTTTACAGCTATATATTTTATAGTAAGAGATTATTACATTCATTGGATTCTCTCCAAAGTGAAAGAGAAAAACCTCTACATGAACTCAGAGAAGTAATCTATGAATTCTATTGAGAAAAGAAGCTTATCTTTAAGATAGTAAAGGAGGACTAATACTGAAATACACAAAACAATCATAAGTCTTTAATGTCAATAAATTAAGCACCAGGTGCCAGGAAGCCTTAACGAAATGAAAGCCCTCAACTGTGCATCAACAAAATTAAACTAGCCAAATATGTGGAAATCTCAGGTTATAGAAAAGTAGCCAATAAGAAATTGTAATAGTTTTCCTGAAGATCATAGCTTCAACATTTAAAGAAGAAAAAGAGTGACATTTACTAATATGTCTCAAAAGTTTTCTACATTTAGTTATTTTATTCTTTACCATATTTCACTCTAGACCTTTGTGACTCAGACAGGAATTTTAACTTTCTAATCTTCTATTTCTAAACCTGTGGTCCTGAGGTTCTTAGTAGGAAGATTCTCTTCCCTGCATTCCGTCCCAGCCCTCTTATGTACAAAAGACCTTTGTTAAGCACCAGTTGCACCTGTCCCTGTCACATTAAGCTATTACCAAAGAACATTTCACTCCAGATCTCAATGGCTTAAAACACAGGTTTCTGGGGCAATGTGTTTCTGCTGATCTGGGCAAGGATCAATTGATCTTAGCTGAGGTCTTCAATGGTTTTTCATTATGGATGGCTGGGTCTTGCTAGTCAAGGATAGCCTCATGCATAAATGTAGTTGGCTGGCTGTCTGCTGACGCAACTAAGTTCTTCTGTGTGGAGGCATTTGTCTTCCAGTCTACCCCAGGCTTATTTACATGGGGTGGTGACAAGGCTCCCGGAGCAGAGTGGAAGCAAAAAAAAAATTCTCTAGAGGAATTCTACCACATCTTATTAGTCAAATCAAGTCACAAGACCAGCCAAGATTCAAAGGGGGTGGAATACAATCCACCTTGAAGGCACGTTAAAAAGGATAAAGGGAGGGAAAGGCATTTTTTGCTATTCATCTTTCACACTATGAAAAACATTATGATTCCTCTGTCAGTTTAAATACCATATTTTAAAAATCCACGCTCATTCATATTCTAACGTTCATGAAGGCAAAGAGCTATGTATTTTATCAGTGTGTGCATGGATCCCAGGAAAGTGAATTGTGCCTGATGTTGATTTTTAGTGAATTATAGTTTAATGAATTCCATGTTGTTGCTTTTATGTACCGTCGAGTTGGAACTGACTCATAGCAACCCCTCCTTGGGTTTCCAAGGCAGTATCACTACGGAAGTAGATTACCCAATCTTCCTCAGAGGAGTGGCTGGTGGGTTTGAACCGTCAGCCTTCTGGTTAGCAGTCAAGTGCCTTAGGCACTAAGCTACCAGAGCTCCTAATGAATTCCATAGTAAATTATAATTAAAAAAAAATATTACTTAGAGATGAAAATCTTTAATGCCTAACTCTGAACACTATTAATATAGGAAGAAAAAATGTGGGCATGATTTATTTGAAATTAAATATGGAATTTGATTCATAATTGAAGTGTATGTATGATTTTTGTCTTAATTTTTTAAAAATTGTCAGTGATTATGACAGTAATACACTGAGAAACACCAATTTCACTAGGTATACTTTTGCTCTCAAAACATCCTTCCTAGGCAAATATGCTAACCCTTTCTGGTGGAAGACCAGTTGAAGCTAAGGAACCTCCTTCTCCCCTTTTTCTCCTCATGTGCAGAGGGTTGATAATCATTTCTCTTGATCTCCACTGTGTTATACTCATGGTATGTATGCCCGCTCAGTTATTTTACTGTTTTTTTTTTTTTTTTTACCTCCATGTCCCACCTCCATTCACCTATTCTTTATAGGCAAACATTACAATGATTTTATTTATTTTTTACTTCCTTGTACTTTTTTTCAAAATAACTGCTGCTTATGTCTCTATAGCAAATAATGGCACTATATCCGTTACTTGAACAGTATAAATTCTTTAAAAACTACTTTATTCTGTTAGATTCTTCCAGGCAAAATATAATATTTGTGCATTTTGGTCCAGACTTTTAAGAAATACATGTATGGGAATCTCCTTAAATGCACAGGAAACATTAAAGATGTCCTCCATGTTTGTCCACTAAGACCAGAGCACTAGGTGAACTTGTGGGCATGAACCCCCCTGACTCACTGAGAAAGTGAATTCTTATGGATTGATTACTAGGTCTTCTTCATAGTGACATTCTTCTTGCTGCTCCTAATGAGGTGTATCTTACAACTAAACATCTGTCAAAATATTTAGGGGATGAAATGAACTTGCCTGAAATTCCCAAATTTTAAGAAAACTTCACCATTTATGTGAATCAAGTAGTAACATACTTAACCACTGAGAAATCATTTGGCCAGGTGAAAAGCATTATTTAGTATCTACACATACACACACACACAACTTCAAGGACTTATTTTTGGGAGTCTTTAAAATGATTTCATACAATGGAGTAGGAAGGAGAATAAGAACCAAAATATATGTAAAATGTGATATTTTTCTGTCCATTTTTACTAAACTAATCTTTGCTTGCTTCTTCCCTATCTTCATATTTCTTTCTAGTACTATTTTTCTTAAATAAAATTGGTCATAATCTTATCTGGTCCCTTTCAAACTTCTGCCTTACTCTGCACACACTTAGTACAGTTTGGAGTCCACGTAATTGGGTGGAGCTCAGCTGCAATATAAACCTACTATGAATCATATTGTATGGTGGTCATCTTTATCTTGAGAGTGATAAGACCATTATTATGCTAACAGAAGCACTGAAATTTAAGGGGACAAAGGAGTCTGTCCTGCTGTCACATGGCTTCCAGACTGTAGCTATAAAGCTTCAATAGATCTCTAATAACTAATTTAGTTATACCAAACCTACTTCCATCAAGTAGATTCTGACTCAGAGCAAGCTTAAAAGACAGTGGAGGAATGCCCCCATAGAGTTTTTAAGGCTATAAATCTCTAAGGAAGCAGACTATCACATCTTTCTCCATCAAAGCAGCTGTGGGTTTGAACTGTTGACTTTTTGGTCAGCAGCTGAGCCCTTAAACCATTATACCACTATGGTTCACTGTCATTATAAGAATGAAAAAAAAGAAAAAAGAAAAAGAAATGGAGCTCCAAGTGGCCACACAGAGTTTTGAAGATTTTGAAGTTTTGAAAGTTCTTCAATGATTTGACCTGTGGGAAACAAATCTACTCTAAGTACTGAATATCCTCCATATGAGGTCCCTGGGTTGTGCAGACAGTTTGCTCTGGGATAGTAATTGAATTGTTGATGGTCCTAACCCATGCTCTGAAGACAAAAGAGAAAGTGTTGTCTCTTGTTGGAAATTAGCAATTGTCTTGATAGAATAATGAAAGAATGGACATTACTGTAGTTCTGACAAGATGGTGGAATAGGCAGACTACCTACACAGACCCTCTGCAACAAACCAATGAGAAACCAATCAAAATCAATGCAGACAACAATCCTGGAACCCTGAACTTGGAAGGCAAAGATAAATAAGTGGATTGAATACCAACTAGTAGAAGAACCTGAATGAAAACAGTGAGTAAGGATACAAATGGAGATGTGGACTGCCAGCTGTCCTGATGGTACAGCCATTTTGAATA